TGATTGGACCAACTCACAGCAAGAGTTGTGCCACGGTAACAGGAAATCAGTGTATTCTGAAGCCTGCAACTTCACATTTGATGCCGTTTGCCAGAGAGATGCTGTCCTTCTTAGAATAGAATCAGTAGTGTGTGATTTACAACAAAATGTAGAAATACCTCGCACCTTAAAGCACAGACAGATTTAAAGGACTTGGGTATCTTAGGTAAAGTTTCTCACAGAAAGTTTCTGATAACAGACATCATCAAAATTGGAGAAGATTCTTTTCTCCTAAATTGACTGTAAAGTTAACTTCTATACAGAACTTTTGCTGCATACTTGGATTTTTTTTTTTGTCTTTCCTAGACTCTGATAATGTAAAGGTAAATGGATAGTTAATAGTTATTGCAGTACTTATTAATAGTTGATTTTTTTGCATTTAAAATTTCGCAGAATAAAATCATTTTAAGGAATGCTTTTCAACAATGTGCTATGTGGTAAATGGGAAGGAAAGAGGAAATATATGTACAAATATAATATTTGAAGCATGAAATAATTCTTTTTGTGTACATATAATTGCCTCAAGAGTTGTTATAAAGTCATGTGTCCAAATATTTAAAACAACAAGCAAGAAACACAAAAACAAATTAGTACATTTAAATAAGGAACTGAGAGAAATATGTATGGATGTTGACATTATCTTTATTTTTATTTTCATACATATCATTTTTTAAAGCTTTATTGAGGTAAAATGAATATATAGACATGCATATTTAATGAATGTATTTTGATTAGTTTGGACATACGCATACACCCATGATGCCATCACTGCAATCGAGGTACTAAAACATCCGTTACCTCCAAAAACGTCCTTGTGCTCTTTTGTGTGTATGTGCTTTTTGTTTTGCTTTGTTTTCTTGGTATGGTGATCCAAACTGTTGACCTTGATGTTCTAACACCACACGCCAACCAACTGAGCTAACCAGCCAGCCCCATGTGCTTTTTTTCCCTGTAGTTAGAACACTTAATATGAGATCTACCCTGTCAACGTATTTTAAAGAGCACAAACTATATTGTTAATGTAGGTAGTAGGTTGTATAGCAGATCTCTAGAACCAATTCATCATATGTAACTAAAACTTTCTACCTTTTAAGCAAAAATTCCCCTTTTCCATTCCCTACTAGCCCATGGAAATTACCATTCTACTCTCAGCTTCTGAGAGTTTTATTTCAAAAGAGGAAAACATAATTGCCTATTCTTTCAATGTTTACAAAAATAAGTTTAATCTTTTTCTAATTCTGCCATATTTCCTGTCTATATGTATCCCTTTCCTTGTATTATAACTCCTAAGCATTTGGTAAAATAATAGACCAGGCATATAGATATAGTTATGCCATTTTTTCTTCATTGGCCTTTGTTAATTGTTAGTTGTGCTCAATTTTCATCAAAAAGATATCAAACCTACAACTGGTAATAAAGTACTAAAATACTGTAAGCATGAGACAACTTTTTGGAGTATATGATATCTTACTTATTCTTAATGTGATTATACAATTTATTTCCTTTCATTAAATTTATGGTTAAACTTTATTATATGGAAAACTGTCCAACTCTCATTTCTCTAACTGAAATTCTACATAAAGTTTGTTATTTTTCCTCTCCTTTATTCAAAACACATTTATGTTTCAAAATAAATGCAACAGTATGTGTCCACTATGTAAGTGAGGTAATTTAACTCCTTCAAGAAGTTGCATAGAGTTTATTCTCAGCCATCAAAATTTATACCCTAGTAACTGTGAATCAAAGAGAAAAGAGGGAGAATGAATTG